AGGCTTGCTCATTGATATAAGTGAAAAGATTCTGGGCATGGCACTAAGTTGATCCCATATCAGCCCAAAGCAGGCAGCACAGTAGAACGTCTTGTCATGTTGCTGAAACGTAAATGGGTGAGGGTGTGTCTTGGAAGTTACCTTCCATATAGAACATTTTTACAGGATTGTGCTTGTGTGTGCATATATATATATATATATGTATATATATATGTTTCCTGCCTACCAAAAGATGTTCCTGAGGATATTGTGACTACTCTCTGTAAAAAATGTAAATAGAAATTTCCAGGTAGCACTTTACACTTGAGCTGGCAGCTCTGTTTCTGTACAATCACCCAGAAAATGTGGGCTTGGCTGTGTCTCCTTAGATTCCAAGTAGCTCCATCAGTGATTTTGCCATCGAATTCCCTAAAGTGTCTGAGTCTGCAGTTCTGTCAGGCAGGGTCTGTTATCCATGCTGGCCTTGGTGCAAAAGGGGCGAGGGAGGTTGCTGGATATTGTTCTTTCCCTCTTCTGGTCTAGCCCCTTCGGCTGTGACTTCAGTGGTGGATAGAAAATCAGAAAGTCCAGGTCTGTGTGGAAGTGTGCCTGCAATACAGATTAGCCTGGCCTGAGGGCCTGATTGCAGGCTCTTACCCTTTTTATTCTTGAATGAAGGGCCCTGCCCATTCTTTTCCTTTATTGATTTTGAGAAATATTTTAAGGAAGCTGAGATAAGGGTCTGGCTTCAAGCGTGTACTTTAAATAGCACTCGCCTTGCCTTTTTGTAAAAAGCATGTGGTGAATATTAGTATTTACTCCCCGAGCTCATAGCTGGCCCTACCACTTCCTACTGTGTCACCTGGGGCCATCCGATCTTAGTTTCCTCAGCTGGGCAAATGAAGGAACAGAGTGCACACATTACCGGGTTCCTCTGATCATTCAGTGACGTGTGAGGAGAACAGATAGATAACATTTAATGAATGTATATATACTTCATGTCTTTTACTGTCCTAAGTATTTCATGGTTTAATAACAGGTAGTAATTTACAGTCACCCCTGAGATAAATGTTTCAATCTCCCTTTTATAGATAAGAAAGCTGAGGTACAGAATTGTTCAAGTAACTTTCCCAAGGTCATACAACCAGGAAGCCGGGGAACTGAGACAAGAGTTTGGCCCTAGGCCTGTGCTCGAAACACTAGTATGCTCGTGGTAAATACAGTGGTAAATGATAGCAATTGTCCTTCCTAACTTTCTCTTAAATTTTCTGATCTGAAATACATGTACCATGCCAACTAGCGTCTCAGAGCACATGATAGCTAGTCTCTAAATACTGACAGGTCACTGTTAGGGCAGTACGTTGAGGCTCTGCACAGTCCCGTCTGGATGGATGCGGATAGTATTCTGTTCATGGACACGTCACCTACAAAAGCCTCGGTGACTCCACTTGTCCAACTTAGCATTCGAGGCTCTATGGGGATCTGGCCCCAGATGTGCTTTACAACCTTATCCTGCCTTTGCTGTTTACACAAAACTTGCTTGTGTCAGCTCAGTCAGACGTAGGACTTACTTTATCTTCTTTATCTTTTTATTCCTAGTACTTAGTGGGAATCTAAATAATATTGATTGGGGGAATAAATGTGGCTCAGTGTCCATGAGCTGGGACGCGGTTCAGATTTGCAGTCTGAAAGCAGACACTGCTCCCCCATGCTCAGCTCACCTCCTGTGTCTGGAGCCCCGTCCTCCGTGTCCCACCTGCTAGTCCAGACACCAGGAAGCCTTCGCTTGGTATGTTAAACTTCACAGACATTTTCACTGCACCATCTTCTCTTTTACTAAAATGATCCTGCTAGGCTGCCAATAATGGGGCTTAGATTTTAGTTCTTTTTCTCATAACAATGATGGATTTTCATTGATTTGCCCACATTAACATTTAACACTCCTCATTAGTAGATTTTGCCAATTTGCACATTAATGAAAGAAAACCCTATTTAACTGGCATGTTAACATATGAGTGGAGATTTAAAATACTACTGCCAAATCTAACTTACATTATACATGAAGGAGTGCCCTTTTTAGTGTTTAAAACTTGTTTTTCCTATCATATGAGCATGTTCTTATATAATATTTGAAAGAGAGAGGAACTAAAATTTATTTAGCATGTACTGGGTCTAAGGCCAAGGAAAGAACTTTTATTTGTTATTGAACTTGGTCTTCTAAACCATCTTGGAAAGGAATACAACTTAGCAAGAGCTAGGTTTTGATGTTGGGAAGACCTGATTATAAGTTCTGCCTTTCCAATTCACTTGCTGTGTGATGTGGGGACTCATAACCTCTCTGCATTTAAGTTTGCTTATCTACAAACATGCATGGTAATATCTCACATTTGGTATTTGGGGTGGGATTTTTTTGGCCTCCTTTCCCAGCAGATAAGCAATAGCCAGATAAGAAAATCAAAGTATTGGCTTATTAACTACTGGGCAAGTGCCTTAACACTATCCAAATATAGGATTTCTTTAATGAGCTATGGACCATGAGGTCAAGGCCTGGAAGACTAAATGAAGCTGCCCATCTCCACCTTCCTGAATGAGAGATAGTGGAGAACCAGGGAACAGGTTTCTACTCAGTCATATGACCAAGTGGCTGGACTCAAGGGTAAAGTGCTGACTGTGGTCTCTCACAAAAAGCCAGGCCCTGCTTGGGTCAGATGATTACCTAGGAGCACACAGTACGAGTGTGATTCCTGGGCATGATACTGGAACAAAGAAGAGTGACCCAAGGCTAGCTTGGGCAACAATGTTAAGGTACTCTAACCCGCCCAACAGGGAATGGGGCAGAAGGATTGTGTTCTCTATGAAGTGGCTTCTGTGAAGTAAGGCAGATACTTGAGCTGAAAGAAGAAATGCCACCTCCACCCCCACCCAACACTAACAACAAAATCTGTAAGAATAAGAAATGAATCTTCATTGTATAGGGCTATAAGTGGGATCAAATAAGATTTTATATATAAAGTCTCTAGCAGGTTTACTTTAAAAGTACCGACATCCACTATACTCTGTCAAGAGAAGCAAGTTTTTATAGTTAAGTGTTATAATCAAGACCATTTGATAGTTGAGGAGAAGGAGATGTAAAGACATGAAAACTGGTATAGGATAAAAACCAATAACACTAACATAACAAACAAGCAAAAAGCAACCAGACCTTTCCCTTGGGCTTTGGATTTAGAAAACCTCAGAAGTATTTTCATCAAGTCTCTATAGGGGGGTGATAGATAATCAGGCTGTTGTCTAGAATGCTAATGTTATCTTAAGCTTTCATAGCTGATGAACTCAGGGTCAGGCTTGAAGAATAGGGAGCATGCTAATAAATATTTACCGCTAACGTCATTAGCCACGGATGCCTTCTGGAAACCATCAATACCTCTTACATTTTCCATGTAATTTGACTTCATGCAGTGATCTCAAAATATATCCACAACTTTGATATACTGTACATATAAAAATTAGGGATACGTAGTTCTGCCTTAGATTAGATACGAAGGTCCTGCAGTAAAACAATTTAACAAGAAAATCCTTATCTCTTTAAGTTAAATATAAGGAGGCGCATCAGAGACATTCTACAAATTGTGATTAAAAACAATTACATTTAACTTTACTGGAGTTCTTCAGCTTCACCACTTCTTACCTGAGCAAAGATAGTTTTGTTTAGTACTTTAGTAATATATATATTTTTTTCAGTTTTCTCACTAACAGAAAAAAAGTGTTTAACTTACAGTAATTGAATTTTTTCGATTCAAATGTTTGTTCCCTATTTTCTCCAACTTAAAGATTGTTTCATTCTTAAAACTAGACCACATTTCTGACTTTACTTTTTTAAGAATTACATGCATCTAGATAATCCGGGGCATAGAACAGTAAAAATAACACTCAACCTCAGTGTCTTAGGACAAGGTCAAAATTCTCACTCATGTTACACATATCCTCATGGAGTGATGAGAGTACTTTGTCTGTACCTGATTGTCACTCATAGACCTATTCAAAAGAATTTCCATCTCTGTGCTTCCACAGTTGCAGAAACAATGAGAAAAAACATAAGAGATTGAGCACTGGCTCTTATTGATTTGATATGAAAGTGACACATGTCACTTCCTCTTACATTTCATTGGCCAGTGAAAGTCATATGCCCAAGCCTAACTTCAAAGAGTCCAGGACAACACTTTCCTCCCATATTTGACTGGAGGGTACAGAACCAGAACTAATTGGGAAACCACTAATGAATCCTACAAAAGGTGTCTTCTTATTCTGATTACATATCAAGGTCACAAAAGTATTATGGGGCAGAGGGTAATTTTCATAAATCTATAACTGAAGATTTATGTTTCTTCTAAATATTATGTAGTATAAGAGTATGGAACAATAAGAAAATTGATGATGACATCAAACACTATTCCTCCTATATGACAAAACAGAATAAATATTTTCTCTTTTTTGAGGGACTAGATTGAAGGAGGGTAAATGGTGGGACCATTCCTATGGTTCATACTGCAAGGGTACATGTCAAATCTATTAAGTATGGAGTATAAATGTCTTAACACTATAATTAAGTAAATGAGGTGATGGTTAGACTAACCACTTTGATGTAAGCCCTCCTAATTGTACATAAAATCAGCACATTATACCCCATAAAGGCATCAATGTATACATGATCTATGTGTTTATGACTTAATAAAAAAAAAAAGAAATATTCAAGAGAATAGCAAGAGGATGCATAGATACTATAGGAAGGGATACTATGTGTTTCTATCTATTTTGTATGTGTAAGTTTATGTACTTTTATTTCAGATTAATACATAGACACAAATGATTGGTTTACATTTGTTTGGTAAAATCCAAGTTGCGGTTGAGCTATGTGTTTAAATGGATTGACAAAAATACTGGCCTTCATCACATATCATATACAGGTCTCTGCTCCAGCATTATTTAGAATATTGAGTAAGAAAAGCTGTTTCTTTTCCCCATAGGAAAACATCAACATTGATGAAGCCTCCAGATGCCTGGTGAAGCACATCCTTGCAAATGAATGTGACCTAATAGAGTCCATCGAGCCGGACATTGTGAAGCCCCATCTCACATCACCCAAGGTTGTCAGCTGCTCCAGCTGTGCCAAATCCTAGGAGGCTCCTTTGCTGGTTCAAGATAGGAGTAATCACCTCACCCCATGCACTGTGCCTCACTTGTTACCATTGTGGGTAAAGGTCAGGATAGAGAGACATGTGGCAGGCCAGAGAGCTATGCCTGTATCTATTCTACAGGAGAGAAAAAGAATAGGCTTTTTAAATTTCCCCCCCAACCATCTATCAGCACAGTGTTTACAAGCTTTTTAAATATCAAGTCTGTTACAAACTCCTGTTGTGCAGCTGACCGAAATTCTGCAGGGCTGGAGTCCGCCCTGTTATTGGCTTCTTTGAGTCAGCAAAAGGCTCAGGTTTTCAGGAGAAGGGGGAGAGAGCAAAGTAGCCGTCAAGTTAAGCACTGGCTTTTGCCTTGCCCTGGTATCTTTGTCCAGATTTCGGTACATTCTCTGATGACCTAACAGGCCTATTAAGTAGATGTGATATTTTCTCCAGAGATGACCTCCATTGTCAGCAGACCTAAGAGTCGCCTCTGACTTAGCTCTTCAGAGTCCTGCGCGTAGGCGTCCTGTGTTTTCCTTCCCTTCACTGTTGCTTGCCATGCCTGGATCTTGGTTTTACTGAAAACTGCACAAAAAGCCCTGCCCCCCATGTGTGCCTTTCTGTTAGCTCTGACTCCAGCAGTGGGACTCATCTGCACGTGTGATATATATTATATATATTTTCGCAAGTGAACAATAAAAGATTAAAAGATGCTGTTTCACTATTTATGAAATTGACTTAAGGTTCTTAGTATTGTGAATTTTTTTTCAACAATGTAACATGATTCTCAAGATCTGTCTTTAAAATTTTATGGCAGAAAGGAGATGAGAAATAGGCAATAAAGGAACCTGGGAAGACTGTAACAACTGGGATGAGTCTGTCCCACTTGTGTCTACTGTTCATATTGACAATTAGGCCAGAAAGTCAGCAGTATATATACATTTTTTGGTTAATCAGAGGAATATGTACTCATATATTCTGATCAAGAAAGGAGCCAGACCAGTCAACATAAAAGACAAAACCAAAATATATGTGGTGATAATCACAGTGGCTACGGTGCTAATATTGAAGGTAGCTACTATGTTTTTAACATCATTGTTTTCCCATCGGTGTTCATAGTATGTGCATATTCACAAAAGCCTTATCTTTTGTAACAGATGTTTTTCAACATCCTCCCCAAGTTCTCCTGACATTCACTGTTTCCACAGCACCCACCACAGGGCTTCCTATTGTGGTATTTGTGACTCTATGTGAAGCATTCTCTGGCCGTGGAGCAGACATGCCAGTTCCTGTTTCTGGGAACAGCTCTCCAGCACAGAGTGCAGGGGCCAGGGACACCCCAGCTCCCTCCTTCCTTACGAAGGTCAATTCTAAGACATGTTCAATGCAGCCTGTCAGAGACCCTCGTGGGAGTAAGTCCTGGTTCCTGCAAGGGTAACTTTCCCATTCAACTCACTTTTTATTGGCTTCCTTTGCTTCCTTCCCTATTTTCCCCACCCCTCTACTGGTGCTTCTTGGGTTTACTTAGCATAAAAACAACTTTCATTCAAAGACCCTGTCCTTAAGTTCTTATGGGAAAATCCAACCTAAGGTAGTTGTCACAGAGGTGGTCCTAGGAAGCAGATTCTTCATATCAGCTTCCTAAATCAAGTCATTAACCACCCAGGTGAAAGCAAGGACCCTTGCTGATGGGTCATGCAGCAGAGCTAATCTCTAGCAAGCTGTAGCACCAAAATCCCAAAGGCTGTGCTCAGGTGGATAGAATATAATGGAAGAAAGTGCTATGAGTTCTATGTTTGAAAGACCTAAAATTGTACAGTCAGTTAATGACCATGGAAACTCTGAAGGGAAAAAAAAAATTACAAACTCAAATAAGCCAACATTTAAGATAGTAGATAATCTGTTTGTATGAGAGCACTCTTTCATGAGTTAATTTTTAACATTCTGACAAGTCCTTCTGGAGTTGATCCTAGTCTGCTATTAGTATGGCTTGGGTCCTTTAAGCACGCAAAGGGTGTTGTCCTAAAATAAATGATGTGGACAGAACTACCTTGGCAAAGAATTAGAGAAGAGATACAAGGTTTCACAGAAGTGGGAATGTTTGAAAGACAAGAGAATCTATCAGTTGATGATGTTCCTTGAGAGAACCTAAAAGACTCTCCCTTTACTGAAGTAATAAAAGTGTTTCAGAAAGAGAGATATCAGTGTCAGTGAGAAGCTCAGGAATGGCTCTTCTCTGTAGGCCAGGTTTGATCTAATTGAGATGTTGCTGTGTTTTCATGGAATGACCACTATGTGATTAGAGTTTGAGATGGGCTAGACTATTACATGATGTTAGCATATTTGGTGCTGTCTCCCGGACAGGTAGGACCAAAAGATGGAAGTAGGAGTGGAGCATTTCACTACTATTTAAGAAAATGAGCTTCCCCTTCTCACAACTTCAGGTTGTGCAGAAATGTGGATACTCCAACTAGGAGACTCAGCAAGGGTCCCACTGGACCTACAGCTTCAGCTGCTGATTGCTGTTGGCCCCTCATGCCTACAGATGAGTAGTTAGTGAGGATGCTGTTACACAGGCAGAGTTAATCCATCCCAACCAGCAAGAGGAAATAGCGTTGCTGCTAAATATTAGAAAGGGGAGAAGTATGTTTGGAACTCCTGGGATTTACTGGGATGCTTCCTGATGCTTCCATGTCTGATGATAACTGAAAAAGCAGTTGCAGCATCACCTTGACCAAGTCATGTACCCAGGGACTGTGGCTCATTAGGGACACATGTCTGAGTTATTTTGCCACATAGGAAATGGAAATGTTAGCAAAGAATATCTGAAATGATAAATATCAATTATGATGTCAACTCCTCTTTCAAGACATGAACATGTATGCAATTCCCCAATGGCTTTAAGAGAGAAGCCAAATGTCCAAACTAAGCTAGCTCTTCTGAAAATATCATTGCTTTCAAAGGAGAAGACCACAACCACAGTCGTGTTTAAGGAAATAGAATGTTCCTCCCACTGTCTTCTCAGAACACTGGGCTCTAGCCACACTAGACTATTTTGTTCAGTGAGCTCTTCCTACTGTTTGGAATATTGTTTGGTTTTTTCCTGGAAATCCTACCCACGAGTATCAGAACAATGGCACAGCCTTACAGCCTTGCCCATCTCTCCGCAATCCAAGTCACTTTTCTGTGCTCACATAGCTCTTTGATTGACTTGAAGATCACTCACATGCTACGTTACAGTTATGTGTCAACTACTATTTATAGAACATGTACTATGGGACAAAAATTGATATGCAACTTTGTCATTTAATCCCCACAAACTTATATAAAGGCACTAATCTCCTCATTCTAATATATAAAAAAAATGGGATACAGGGACACTGAGCAACTTGCCAAAGGTCACAAAGCTACCAGTGGGCAAAGCAAGAATTCAAACCTAGCCACCTGAATTCTGATGCCCAGGTTCCTAATCATTGTGCTAAATTGGCTCCTCTTGGATTTCTAGAGGGGACAACATTTTGAAGGCCAGGCACAATACTCAACTCAGGAAATACTAGAGCTTATCGTATGGCAGACACTGCAAAACACTTCTCTTAACAACTATAAGAAGTAGTGTTGTAATGAGATAATAAATGTAAAACACTTAGCATGGCGCCTAAAACGTTCCAAGCAACTAATACATGTGAATATGATGATACTATTCTCTCTGCTTATTTTCTAAAGTAAAGCAGTACAAAGCTATCAGATAAAAAAATGCTAGATATTTTTGCAAGTATCAAAAATGGGACCCCAGGTCAAATCTATAAAGACAGAAAATAGGGTCATAGTGGCCTAGGCTTCAGGGAAACGGTGAGTGACAACTAAAAGGTAGAGGTTTTCTTTTGGGGATAATAAAAATGTCTTAAAATTGTGGTGACACAATTAATACAACTTTGTGAGTATACTAACATCCACTGAACAGTACCCTTTAAATGGGTGGAAGCTATGCTACACAAATAATAATACAGCTATGATAGGAAAAAGGGGAGCCCCGGAAAAAGGAGTAGGAAATGATTGTTTCCCCAAATGCATCACTTTAGCCGTACTATGGAGTGTAATCCTGGTGTTATTCCACAAAAAAGACTCTTAGGAGGTGACTTTTTACTGCCATTTCTTTTGGTGGTACACTCCATCATGTCTGAGTTCATAGCTTGCTCCCAGATGTTGGAACTGGCATTATGCATGGGTTTACATTCAGCTGCATTTGAGCTGTTTCTGTCTGAGAATATCTTTGGCCATCTGGAATCCCCAATCACCAGAAAATTTCCCAATATTAGAAGAAAAAAAAGCATGACAAATCCTAATTTAAAAGGATTTTAAAGTTCATCAGTAGTGTTGAAGAACTAAATGACATAAGTCTCAAAGGCACAGGTAAAATGCCTCTGAGAAGTTAGTTCACAAATATTTCAGTACATGATGAGTCTAAAATTTTCCATGTCAACAGATTAACTTATTTTCTTCAATTTGATTGATTTTGCAAAGTATCAATCTCCAGGGACAAACAATATACTCCTAAATGCAAGGTACTCCCTGAAATTGTAATGGTAGACATATGACTTTGAAATTGAAAATTCCAGATGGCCCAGATTATGCTTTCTATTAGAATAAAATTGTCTCTCCAAAGAGCTCAAAGAAACCTGGTGACAGTATTTTTTTGTAAATGTCAAATGCTAAAGTGTTGCCAGTACTTGTAATAAAATACAGTGCTTTTGTTTTGTCTTATACTGAACTTTTAAGAAGTTACCTTATGCCAAATGTGTAACACCAGTCAATTTGTATTCGTTGAACTCCTTAATCAAATAGCTATCAAGTGACTGCTCTGAGCAAGTTGCTGTGTTTGGTGTACTAAGTAGGTCACTTGTCAAGGTCTCTAAGAAATTGCATAGTGCTTAATATATGTTAGTTTCTTTCCTTTCTCTGTGATAGTTGTTGTCATGGAAACATGAGAAATAAAAAGAAATAAAAAGTCATGGGTCCTTGTTCTTTAAGTTTCAGTTTCCTTGGGGGAAGAGGGATTGGGTTAACAAGGCAGGCAAACAGTATAGGCATGAGATAGAAAATAAGATTGCTTCTGTTTCTACTACATGACAGTCTTCATTTTTTTTTATTATAATACATGTTAACAAAATTTATCACTCAGATCTTTATCTTTTCCAAACATAATGGGGAAAGGATGGGGGAAGGATGATTTCAAATTTTATAAAAAACAGACTGATAGAAAAAAAAAAGTCCACACTTACCACGTGATTCCAGCAGGATCTCTAGT